CATCACAGGCACTTGGAAAACAGCCTTTGTTCTTCCTTTGCTGAAGGGAGGTGATCCCACCTCACTGAACAACTATCGACCAATCTCTAAACTCTGCATTTTAGCCAAGGTGCTAGAAAAACTGATAAACTCTCAAATCAAAAATTACCTGGACTCATTTAACATCTTACCTCCACATCAATCTGGTTTCAGGAAACAACACAGCACAACCACTGCTTCACTCAAGGTTCTTAATGATGTTGTTTAAGCACTGGCTGCTAAGGATTATTGTGCTGCACTTTTCTTAGACCTGTCTAAAGCTTTTGACACTGTGGATCATAACATCTTGTGTCATAAGCTCTCAGAAATGGGTTTCTCAGAACACACCATTGGTTGGTTCTCTAACTATCTTTCAGACAATGTGTTCAACATAATGGTACTTCCTCCAGTTATTTAACAGTCAACAATGGTGTACCACAAGGCTCAGTCTTAGGACCCACCCTCTTTACAATCTACATACATAATGTTGGTAAAAACATCCCTAATGCATCCTTACATTTCTATGCTGATGACACAGTTGTTTATTGTCGAGCTAAAACTGTTCCTAAGGCTTTTCAGCTTTTGAAATCTGCATTCAACAACATCCAGACTGATTTATTCCGCCTCAAACTTGTCCTAGATGCCGACAAAACCAAAGGGATGCTTTTTTCAAATAGGAAGTTGGTCCCAGCAGTTCTTCCTCCGATTTTATCCTCAAATGGTGTCCCCATTGAGTTTGTTGATTCTTATAAATATTTGGGTGTCTTGGTCGACTCACATCTCTCTTTTAAGCTCCATGTGGAAAACTTGGTAAAGAAACTGAAAGTTAAACTGGGTTTCTTTTTCAGAAACAGATCCTGTCTAACCCTGAATGCTAGAAAACGCCTTGTATCTGTGACTTTCCTTCCCTCAATTGATTACAGTGACATTATTTACATGAACGCTCCTACAAGAACCCTGCAGATGTTGGATGCTGTCTATCATGGTGCACTAAGATTCATAACTGGCTGTGATTATCGTACCCACCACTGCACCCTGTATACACTGGTTAACTGGACATCATTAACTTCACGCAGACTCTCTCACTGGTACATTTTCATCTTTAAATCACTTCTTGGTCTGCTGCCTTCATACATCTCCTCCTACATGTCTCTGCGTGAGTGCAGCTACGGAGTGCGCTCTCAGGACATTATTACCTGCAGTGTTCCCTCAATGAGGACTGAACTAGGCAAAAGGGCCTTCTCCTACTCCGCTCCTGTTTCCTGGAATATCTTACAAAAAGATTTGAAGCTCTCGACCTTGACCTCTCTAAGTGGCTTGAAGAATCTGTTGGACTCCTGGCAGGGACCAATGCAGACATGTTCCTGTTTTTAGTTTTCTACATTTGCCTTAGAATCTAGCTGTTTTTTTGTTACCTTTTCCTTTTAGCCATCCTATTTGTAAAAAAAAAACAAAAAACAACCTGCAGTATGACTTTTTATAATTGTTTATTGTTGTTGCTGTTGTCCATTGTTGTCATCTTTCTTTGTTGAAATCAGGTCTCTCTTGTAAAGAAGTCCTCGAGGCTCAATGGGAATTACCTGTCTAAATAAAGGTTGATTGATTTTAACGCATTTTAATCTCCTGATGCATGCTCAATAATCCAGGAAGAAAAATCTAAAAAAAGTTAACTGGGGTCCAGAGGACCAGATTTAACATTTTTAGAACACATTTTAATATTGTTAAGTTTCGGTTTCCTCCAAAATTTCTCTCCTCAGCGTATGAACACAGAGCACTCTGGCCGGGGGCGGCTTTCCAGCAAGACAAGGTCCGCCTCAACAAGGATTACATTCAGTCACACTGGAGCTCGTGTTGTCTTGACCATTTACTAATAGAAAGGCCAACAAGCTTGTGGAGAGTTGAAGGTCTGGTTCTGTTGGAACGGCAGAGTTCAGTCACAAAGCAGCAGAAAGTTTAGTTTGTTCTAGGAATGCACTATATAAACGGTACACAATAGAAACGATTAACGTTTAGCCTGTGATAGAGATCTGTATTCTACCGGCTAACCCCAGTAAAGTCTGATGTAAAATCAGTCTCACCAGATTTAATTGTTATTTTTTTTTGTTGAAAACTGTGTGTAAGTGGTGGTCAAATGTAAAATCAGAGTTGTCATTTAAAGGCTACTTTTTTTTAGTTGAAAACTGTGCATAAGTGGTGTTAAAGTCTTTTCTTCGAGAGCTAAGTAGCCAAGCTACAAGCTAACTATGGCCGGCTTGCTCTAGTGTTGCCATATTCGGGTGCATGTGCAAAACGCTGTGTTCAGTCGAAAGGTTGTTTTTTCTTTTTCCCCGTCGAAAGTTAAAATTAGCATTGGTCAGCTTTAGAGAAACCTGCTCTCTGATCTGTGAAAAGAACACTGTGTTGTGTGAGTTTACTGCGAGACCCTCTGGTCGAAGCCACAGAGGAAACTGGTCGCCATTTTGGGTCAGCTCTCCTTAAAGTGGAAGGAGACGCCCACTAGAGGGTTGGAGGGTGAAGTGTTTCAGTGTGCACTTGCTGCTCTGTTGCTGTTCAACCAAGTTCATGCTCAATCATCTGTTGTTGTTTATTTCTTAAGTGAGAATACTGGAAACTGTTAAGAGTTAACAACATATTTTTTTAAAAAACAAATGGCTACAACTACATTTGATATATTTTGCACGGTTTTGCACTACAAGAAAGAAGTCTAATACTTGATTTGTTTATTTTTTAAAACCTCTCTGGACCTAGTAGGGGAATTTTCTTGAGTTTATTTTGTGGTATAGCAGGTTTCAAAATCAATGATGGCAAAAGGACACCCTATGCTTTTTTTTCCATTCCTATTGCAAGTTATACATATATATATATATATATATATATATATATATATATAT